ACGATTTTTTAAATTACATTCTTATAAAACTTTGGTATTGACATGAATATTATGATTTTTAATAATACTAGTCACATTGGAATATTGCAGAAGATTTTTCAATGAGCTTATGTGTATAAATATTTAAGACTGTCACTGTATTATGAGAAAATTTCAAACACAGCAATATTTTGACTTGAAAATGAGAAAAAAACTAAGAACTACATCTTAAATATTGCTCATTGTGGGGCTTCCCTGGTGGTGCAGTGGTTAAGAACCCACCCCCTAATGCAGAGGACACGGGTTAGAGCCCGGGTCCGCGTAGATCCCACATACAGCGGAACAACTATGCCCGTGAGCCACAACTACTGAGCCTACGCTCTAGAGCTTGCGAGCCACAACTGCTGAAGCCCACGCACCTAGAGTCCGTGCTCTGCAACAAGAGAAGCCACCGCAATGAGAAGCCGCACGCCACAACAAAGAGTAGCCCCCGCTCGCCACAACTAGAGAAAGCCCATGCAACAACGAAGACCCAATGCAGTCAAAAATCAAATAAATTAAATACATTTAAAAAAGAATTATTGGTAAAAATAAATAAATAATAAATATTGGTGACGTAAAGAAAATAGCACAACATGAAAGTTGTGAGTTAAGTTTTATTGGGGGAAAAATAAAGACTATATCCTGGGAGACAGAATCTCAGATAGCTCCAAGAAACTGTTCCAAAGAAGCATGGGGAAGGTCAGTGTATATGTAATTTTGGTGAAGGGGGAATACACGCAATCGAGCATATATAATTTTTGCAGAAGGTTTCTGCTCGTCTCATGCAGGCTCCGGCTACTGACGTCACCATGAAGGATTTCAATGCTTCTCTAGACACGAGGAGATACAAGAACTGGGCTCATAAAATCAGCTCCTGAAAGTATCTAACTCTCTGAAGAGCTGTCCTGCCAGATTCCCCCGAGCACAGAGCACGTCATTTCCGCTCTCCACCCTGAACTCCGTTCAGGGGGTGTTGAAGGTCAGCGGCTGCAGCAGCTGCACCAGCACCTGATTTAATCCTTGTCGAGGTAGACAGCAAGTGCCGATCCATAGCTGACAATACGCTCCAAATAATTTTATTCCTTTAAGACGGAAAAGTAAAAGTACAATAAATTCTGATTCTGACATGTTTAAACTATAAAACTTAACATAGTGTGTTTTACTACACTGTTCTTTTTTACTTTTTTTTTTTTTTTTTTTTTTTTTTTTTGCCTCTGGCCTTTTTTTTTTTTTCTTTTTCGGAGCACAGGCTCCGGACGCGCAGGCTCAGGGCCATGGCTCACGGGCCCAGCCGCTCCGCAGCACGTGGGATCTTCCCGGACAGGGGCACGAACACGTGTTCCCTGCATCGGCAGGCAGAGTCTCAACCACTGCGCCACCAGAGAAGCCCTGTTTTTTTACTCTTTCAATACGTTTTCAACTAGATCCACGTTACCTGCACATCATCCGTGTATAGTCTGTTAGTTAAGGTCTTTGAACAAAGGAATAAGTGGATAATTCCGTGCGGTTGAGGACAAGGGGCGGAAACATTTCTCTTGGCCGCTAAAAAAAAGGGACATTTTTACAACCTTCCGGGGGCGTCTGAGGAAACTCAACAGAGTCTTTCCGCGAAGGTGAACTCTCCCGTCGACCGCGCCCGAGCTCCTTCCCCGCGGCCCGAGGGTCCGGGGTGCAGCCGCGCCGCCCGCGAGGACACGCGCTTCCCGCGCTCCGCCTCGGGCGGAGCTCCTCCCGCCAACCGCCCCGCGTCCGGAACAGACGCCCCGCCGGGAACAGCCTCCACGCCGCCGGCCCCTCGGAGACCGGATCCGAGGGACAACAAGCGACATCGAACGTTACCTGAGAAGGTGGGGATACACCGCGCGGGGCGGCCGGAAAGGAAGACGCGGAACCTCGAGGAGAGGGCACAGCCCCTTTGCACCGGCCGGGGCGCGGGCGGGGAACGTCTTCCTCCCGCAGACCAGCCAGCCCCACACGTTGGCCCGCAACCGCCATGGCGCCTCCACTCCGTCCTCAGGGAAGACCGCCCATCAAGTGCGGTTGCAGTTGCGCATGCGCCCTATCGCCTGTGACATAGTGGCTTCGTGCCCCCCCTGCAGACCCTTGGGGGAAGTGTAGGATGCTCGAACTCACTGGAGAACATGGGGCCCCTCCCAGCCAGGATGCTAAGTTACTCAAAATCTCAGTGCCCCAGCCTCTCTGCTGATGGCACTGATGATGCTCTGATACAGCCATGCCTGCTCTCTTGCCTGGGATGTGCCCCACTCTTTGGAGCCATGTCATCTGATTTTTAGGTCATCCCCCCAAAAATGATAATAACCTCTATTCTATGCCACAATGACAGTATCCATTTCAGGTCCCTAGAAAAGAGCCACCAATTTCTACCATCAGATTCTCCACTGGATCTTCAACCTGTTAGACACAGAGGACAGCTGCTCTGCTTGGAATAAAATTCTCTATAGTAATATACAGAGTTGATCACAATCACAAATAACTGAAACAGAAGATGAGAGTAGAAAATCTATGGACTTTTCCTCATTTGAGAATAGGAGTCCACAGTTAATTCCAAGAAACCGTTAGCTATCTGAAGCAGTGGAATACAGCTGACATACCTTGGAGCTTGTCAGGGAGGGAATCAAACTGTGTTTTCCCTCATTTAGCAAATCCTTTCAAAAATTAAGGAAACAAGAAAAAACATTCTACTTATGACCACCTTTATTCAATTATATTTTTATGCACAAGAAAGTAATGTAAAATACGTTAAATATAAAATATCAGAAAACAAAATGATAATGTATTTATGATACACATTTCTAATATCCAAAATTATTTACAAAATTCATAATCAGTTCCTTAAATAAACAAACTCATGAATTACATTTTAAAACTTATCCTTTCAGAACTTCACGTGGGATTTTCTGTTTTCAGACTTTGGAAAGTAATTTTTCTTGAAAAAGTTTCTTCAGAACATACTTTTGTTACAGACTTTAAAATTAGCTGCTTAACAGATATACATGAAAATATCAGTTGTTTGAACCTTTCATAAACTTACACTCACATCATATAACAGCTCAACAAAGGCTTTGAAATAGCAAATGATTCTGCTTGTTGATTTTCTTCCAATAAGAGATTCAGGGACCCAGCAACCTTCGATTTGTGGATTGTCCAACAACAACATGTGCTTTCAACTACGGGTATGTTCCTTGGGTTTATTCCACTCAGTTGTAAAGGGAAAATGTATGGCAAATCAGGGAGCGTGTTTCCAGGGCCTGAGCCTCTACAAAGAAAATATCACTTCCATCCCCAATTTACTTGCTGGGAACCACTCCACTGTGAATGATCTTCGTCCTTACGGCTCCAGAGAATGTGGACCTTTTAGACAAAGCAGGTGGGGGCATCAGACAGAGCTCACCTTTGAGGAGAGCCCTTCTT